GACTTCACAGTACTCTTAGCTTTGCTTTACTTTTAACTAGAAATAATTGCTTATTACACAGTTGCCGCTTATAGGTGATCAAGTTGGAGCAATAATAAGGAAGCCTCTTTTTTTCTGTAACAAGATTGTATGCTATACTATGTGTGGTAATAGTATGTGCAAAAGATGTATCTCATTTTTTATCCTCTAAACAGGAAGCACAGGCCTATGCAGATGACAACAGTTTATTATTTATGGAGACATCAGCTAAAACATCAATGAATGTAAATGAAATATTCATGGCAATAGGTAAGATTACCTTTTTTGCAGACAATAAATACAGGTAAAACAGATTAACCTGGGAGCACATTTGGTTTGACTTCTTTTTTTCAATTCTTGGATTTTTTTTTTTAATGGTTATACTACTTACTATTCTAGATTTTCTCCACAAAGCATTACTTTGTTAGGTATATTGTTAAATTTGAAAAATTATTACCCATTAAGTTGTAACACTTCGTTAAATTTTTTCTGGTGAGTTGAGAGCCTGAACTTTTGAGCTGATGGCTCAAGCAGATAGATTTTTCTGAAGATACCACTGAAAATTTTGGATAAATATGTTTTTGTATTACAGTTTTTATATAAAAGGAAGATAAACTCAGTAATTTTTTCATTGCAACATGTAGGCATAATGAGATTTCTTTCCCACTGATCAGTAACTATTTTCACCTCACCTTTGCCCCAAACAGAACATTATTTTTGTTTATTTTTCAAGTTCTTTTTAAATCATTGATTATTGACAAACATAAGACAGGCAAGTACAGTGCACATAAGTGTACAGGTTGACAGAGTGTTTTAGTGCAAATATTGTGATGGAGAAAGTCTCAGAGCACTGAGGCTCAGAGAGGAGGAGTGAAGGCAGAGCGACACCCACACTTTTCTTTTCGTTGCCGCCAAGGGCGTTTAGTTCTTCACCGTGCTCTCCGCTTGCCTCTGCGTGCCCTCGGCTGATAATGATTACTGCTACACAGTGGTTGATGATAGGTCGTGACCTTGAGGACTTACAAGGAAGCTTCCTTTTTTCTATAACAAATACATTTTTATTGACCCTAGTCTTCTCCTAATTGTAAGGTGCAGGTTCTAAGGGAGGGGTCTATTCTGGTGGCTCTCCCTGTCTCCTGCCTTCACACTGTTCGTGTGCCACGCACTCATCTCATCCCATAGCATCTTTTGTTACACAGCGGTGATCACATCCTTGTCCCCAAATAATAAGTATTCTTTTATATTGGAGTCCTACAAATTAACCAGTATAAAGGCTGATTCAGAGGCTAAAGAAAACCGAGTAAGAGCTGCTGGTAGATGAGAGAGATGGTGGCTTCATTTAGGGAAAAACTTGCCTGTTTATTGGGTAAAATATTTTCCTGAGAAACTCAGACTTGCAGTTTATTAGGGAAATATTAGCACAGTTGTGAAGGATTATGTGACAGTGTATACTTTTTTTAAATAAATAAGACAGATTGTACACCCAGAACCACATCTGAAAAGTAACAGGAAACAAGGAGATAATAGGTCCCTCAAATGAGGCTGAACTTTAAATCTTTCTGATGATGTTAAGGCTCCACCAGATGGGCTTTATTGGATTTGTACCTTTTATTCAGACTTGCTAATAAGGTTATATTTTCAGTCAGAAAGTAGCTTACATATTAGGGCTTTCGGTTATGTTTCTGAAATTAGAATGTTTCTTTCCATGAAGGAAACTTCAAGTATAAATTGAATTCTGGCTTCTCTATTAGTAAGTTAAGTAAATCACATAGTAAACTCATGTTTTCACTTTTTTTAAATTGAAGTATAGTCAGTTTACAATATTGTGTCAGTTTCTGGTGTACAGCATAATGTTTCAGTCATAAATATACATACATATATTTGTTTTCATATTCTTTTTCATTATAAGTTACCACAAGATGTTGAGTATAGTTCCCTGTGCTTTACAGTATAAACTTATTGTTTATCTATTTTATATATAGTGTATATCTGCAAATCTTGAACTCCCAGTTTATCATGTTTTCACTTTTGATGACTTCCCACTTGTTTAGTAGGAGAGAGTCTACAATAAATTTATCATCTGCTTTTAATCTGATAAGGTTGAGTGGCTTCTTTCATTGCATATCTTCATTAAATTGGTTCAGGATACTGAGCTTCTCACAGTGCTCATCAATTTAGGGTCAGATTGATCAGCTGCAATTATTTATGTACAAAACAGATAGTGCCAGCTTCACTTTGGTAACACTCTTTAAGATAGGAGACAGGAGACTACTTCTTTTGAGACTCCAAAGGCGTGTTTTACTTTATCTTCATACAATAAAAATTAACCAATAGAAGTTAAAGGCCCCTCATTCCAGTTTATTTCTTTCAGCCTCCTAATTTCACTCATCTAATTACAGAAAGCCCTTGGAGAAGTATGCTAAAGGGAGAAATGGTCACTCAGTCCAAAACCTATCTTGGTATTAATTATAGTAAAGTTATAATGCTAGCTACTCTTTGTCCCTCCAGACTTTGTAAATACATTTGACTAGAAATTTACCATTTTGTTACCATTTACACTGTCATTGCCACAGCCATTCCTAGAGAAGTAGACCAAGGGTGAAGGCGCTTCTTCCCAAACCTCAGCACTCCTGGCTCCCAGATCCAGCGCCCAGCCAGCATCTAGGATTCTAAAGAGGATTAGTGCTCTTGTGGAATATTACTACAAATAAAGGGTAAAAGATCCAGAACACAATGAGGCATTTAGATTTTGAAGTAGAGCATGTTTGGCTTTTGTGGCGCCTGAGCCAAGGCTAAGGTAAAGCTGGCGTCTTACTGTAGTGGTCTGTCCCCATGGTTGATAGACCAGCATGTCTAGCCACCCTTACAGTATGTGCTCTTAAAGGTATTTAATGTTTAATAAATCCCAACACATCCAGGATCTTGAGGTCCAGGCAGACTACATCTAGCATGTAAATTTTCTAATTAGTGGGAGCCACAGTCTAGAGAACAGCCATTAGCACTACAGGGCTTAGCAAAGCAAAAGCCATAACTGCCAGTTGTGGGGCTTTTTCCAGATGTGTCAGGCCATGCTTATCTGACTCAGAATTGGAATTTTTTTTTTTTTTAAATAGAGCCGTCAGGATCAAGTCCATTTTTATCAGGCAGAGCTACTGACGAATCAGATTAGAATTCTTAATTAGCCACAAGAGAGGAAAATGATAGACGTTTGAAGTAAAGTCTGTAAGCCAGGAAGAAAACAGGAGCTGTGATCTGTCATGAGTTGGGGTAATAATTTGCATAGTAGAGGACAAGTTCCACTGGAGATGGTATTTGTTTATATCCTGACTTGTTCCAAAAAGTTTGTGGCAGTCCAGACATCTCTGATGGGTAGGGGCTGAGCTTCTTGATTATAAACACATTGGCTGGTCATTATCTTTAGTAACTTAGGTATTCTTTAAATAACAGTAGTAATAATGATGATGAAATAAAGTACAACTTTTTCTGGTATTGTTAAATGACTCTATACAAAAAATTAAATATATCTCTAGTCAAGTTTTAATTATGTGTCTGCAACTGGCTCAGTTTTACCCTTCCCTCAACCTGCTAAACTCCTTAAGGACAGTGATCAGTGTTTTGGTATTTCAGAGATACTTAGTAAACATTTGAAAACAGTGAACACATGGTTATATGACACTTAGGGGTAACCTAACTGGAAAGAAAGATTACAAGTAAGCAAATAAAGTAATTCTCTTGTGAATATTCTAATGGCATTTGTTTTGATAATTTATCTCACAGCTAAAAAGTTGCCAAAGAATGAACCACAGAATCCAGGAGCAAATTCTGCCAGAGGAAGAGGAGTAGACCTTACTGAACCCACACAGCCAACAAGGAGTCAGTGTTGTAGTAACTAAACCTCCAGTTTAAACTAGCTGGAATATTCTTCTGCTTCCTAAATGTTAATAACCGTGGCATTGGAGCATTTAACCAGCCCAGTATGACTTCCAAAAAGAAGAGACTTACGATAGAGTCAAGTTTCTAATACAGAATTATTTTAAGTGTTTTGAACTTAATTTTTAATAACATGCATGTGGCCCTCCTGACTAATGTTTCAGCAGTGGAAGGGGGAAATGAGAGCTGTGTGTAAACTTGTTTCCTTGGAAGGTTAGGGGGACTCATTTCTCTTCACCAGGGATATTGACAGATGACTCTGAACCCACAGGTAACCAGCCAGTTCTGTGAAAAAGATTTGGAACTTATTCATTTGGGCTTTTCAAGAAAACATTGTTTAGAAGGAGGTTCTAAAGAGATTTATGCTTAACTACCATATTCAGGCAACCTATAATTTCTCTTAGGATCCATATTAAAAGTACACATTCCACATTTTAACAAATTAGCCACAAGAAAACAGTCCCACTTTTCTGGGGGGAGAAATGAATATTAGTGGCACCTAAATTATAGCCAATCCTGTTATTTTTTCAAATGGGGTTTAAAAAAATCAAATGTAATCCCATCTTATTTTAGGAATATGAAAACTGATAAAAATGCATCTTAAAGGATGGTGTTCCCTTCAAACATGTGAGCTCTTCAACAAAAATGAAACCAGGTGTCTGATTTCTGTTTAATCACTGCTGGCCATTACATAGGTTTTGTTGTTTGGGGGTAGGGAGGGGGCTTTTGTGCCCTTTGGACATAAATATAGTCAATGCACTAACAATTATGTACATTCAAACTTGATTATTTTAAATTTGATCTTCAGCTGTACTGTAAATAGGGTACTGCATTGTAGTCTCCATATATGTTTATTACTTTTCTGTAATATTTAAGAGTTGCTTAAAAGTATACAAAATGTACAGTTACTAAAACAGCTAATTTTTTCCTTCTCTGCCGCTTTGAAAGGAAGGGGCTTCAGTTGTTCCTGCCTGGTTAGAACCATAATAAACAATGTACCGGTAATTTGTAACATAAGTATTGGATATGTTAGTAACAATCTTGCAGCCTTGTTTTCCAAAGTTCATTTTATTTTGATCAGTTCAGTATATTGCACTAATTGTTTTAGGTATTTTCGTTACATGAAATCTACCATGTGTTGGAGATGATTTAATCTATTTAAGTGTTGAACTGCTAGGCGAACTTGTCCATTTACAGTCATTCAGAGTTAGCAAGGACAACAGTTCACCAGTGTTTAGTTTTATATTGAGGTGCTCAGGTTGGAATAAAGTGGTATGAAAAGCAAGTGCTGGTTTTTCTCTCTTTTTTGGCATGAAACAATGCACATACATAAATGGTATCGCATCACCTAGAATATGCTTTTGTATTTTCTTCACTACATTCTTTAAAATGATTTGCGTGATATTGATGTGTTGTCTTAATATCTGGTTCACTGAAGAACTGTCTTCATGTTTCTGTTCTCTGGATAATCTAAACTTTAACTTTTACATTTGAAACTGATACTCACTTCCGCTGAGCAGTATTACCATAACTGTAATGTTGTCTCTGGAGCCAGCCGCTAAAGCAGCGTTCACAAGTTCATGGCTAATGTACTCAGCAGCTCCTTCATAGAAACTCTTAAGGTAAGATTTTTTTTCTTTGTCACTTGCATCTTTTGGCACACTGTCCATGCTGGTTGGTTCATCAGTTTCTTTCTTACTGCAGGGACCAGGGTTACAAGTGAAGTGTTCAGAATCTTTTGAGTCCGACCTTTCTTTTGAATTTGTAGCTGACACACATTCTTCAAATTCAGATTTGCTCTGAAATACTATGTGGATATTGGTTTCTGATTTAGATGCGTTTCGTTCGTTGATTGGGGAAAGCAGGGGCCCCGTGGATGTTGACAGTTTGTTTCCTGTGGTAGAACGTGTTTCTGTATACACGTGAAATGCTGTCATTGTCAGTGCAGTGGCTTCCTTTATATCCAGAACTTCCCAGAGCCCATTGGTAGCTAAGATAAGGAATTGACATAAGTCATCGATAGGGACAGAAATAGTTTGAGGTGCTGGGATAATGAATTTTTTCAGTTTGGGATTTCCATGAAACCCAAGTCCTCGTGTGGTTTTTATTTGCTCTTCTACAAGCCCATACGGTTCATTTGAGCTACTTACTGCTCCGTTCTGAAGTACTCTTCTTCTTTCATTTATGTTTTGCATGGTGTGTTCTTTGGTTAGGCAAAAGCCTTTTCCATTTCTGCATAAGATTGCTTGCACGTTACCTAAAAGATTATTTTAAAAAATTGATCCTAGAGATTTATAATCAATTGTGTCAAAGCATGCTGTCAACTTCGTTGATTTGTTTCAGTACATAAACAGAAAGCAGGTCATTTAAAAATATTTTTTTAAATATGTGTAATATTGATACCATTATTAGAAGATACACAGTATTTCAGATATCAAACAAGGAGGCCAGTTTATTCCTCCTTTTTAAGCAACTTAGTGTTAAAAATACTGCATTTAGTATTAAAATAACTAAAACTACAGGTAATGAAAAAGAAGTAATTTTTTTTTATGAAACAGCCTCTGAGTGTTACATATATTGGTAGTGTCAAGAATTGAACGTTTTTATAACCAACATATCTTCCATAGAGCAGACATTTTTAAATGTTTTAATAAATGCCTTTTCAATTAAAAACACAAACTGACTTAAATTTAAGAGTGGAGTTTGATAATTTTTTAACTGGTCAGAGTTAAAACCTGAATGGATTGTAGGTGTGTGTGAGAATGGCACTGTTAGTCCGTCTTACTAGGCTTGCTATTTGTGTTAAAAAGAAGGAAAGTCAGTTAGCTCTGTGAAGAAAACATATCATTGTTTTAAATAGATAATAGCTAGCCAACATTAAAACCTCTTAATTGAAAACCGAAATCTTAAAAAGCTGACTGTAGTTTGTTCACGGTTCAGGCGAACCCGTAATGTGTGCTTTATTGAAATCTTAAGCAAATCTGAGCACAATGCTCTGAACAGATTGAAGGGTGGTTGTATTACCAGTTTTCTTTGGCATACAAAAAAAAAAGACTTTTTTTAGCTTGTTAGGGAAAATTGATTTCCCCAAGTCTTTAGGAACATAATTGTATATAATACCTTTGAGAATTAAAATTCCTGGAATCATAGGAAAATTTACATTAGAATATTCTGATTTGAAACATGATACTGTACCTGGAATCAGAATTTTGTGTTGCAGGCCTTCATTTCTAATCCCCTGATGTTTTAGGATATAGATTTCAGAGGGCTAAGGTTCACCCCACTAACATGGTTGATCAGAGCCTAATTTGGTGAAGCGTTCATGGCAGGCATAGGGGTGAGCCTATTGGCTCATTTACATAATGGGAATTGTTAATATCTGAGCAATTGGACCCCAAAAGAGGGTATGATGTAGTGGAAAATGTTTTGGAACCCTAATAACCATGAATGATGTAGTCCTCAAAACTGTGTGACCTCTTATTTCTTTGTGGTTTGATTATTAATATTTTCTATTAACTTCTCTGCCAGTCATGCTAAGTTTACACTCTGTAGAAGGTGAATCAGTAAGATAATTGTTGACTTTTGCTGAGCTGTAAATTGTTACTGTAGCAGCAAAGCAGCATGGATTGGCGTTGAACATGCCAACTGGGTAAAGTGAATTGTTCTATTAGGAGAACATTTGGTTCCGTTCCCCTTTTAAATTAGAAAATTTCTTTGTGTGTGTACCTACACGTATAAATAGTACAACCATAGCTCTGAAAACACAGGGGGACATAGTTTGGCTCAAAATAGTCAAGTCCAGTGACTGCCTACATGTTTTATTTGCATGTGGCAAGCCAAAGCTCACTCAGCAAGAAGAAAAGGCATTGTTTCTCTTCCGTGTGATTTGGAAAGAACTTAATACGATTATGTAGTTACAGTGAAAGTGTAGTAAATTGGTATTTTGATTTTAGTTGCCTCTGCAGAGAGCTTATGTACTATTTGTCTTTTTTTTTTTTTAATTGCTGTGCTATAGAGTAGGAAATGCCATTTTGGTTGATTTTATTATTGTGGACATCCCTTGTGATCAGCACAATAAAATTTTCTAGAAAATGGGGACCTTAAGTAATGGCTGCAGTTTTTGCTCTACCATTGACTTGCTGTGCCTGACTTACTAAGTGAGTTATTTAATTTCTTTGACAGTTTATTCATCCTGATAAATTGTGCCTTCCAGATAGCTCACATCCGTACCTGTGTGAATTTGCATGAAGGAAAGAGGAGATGACAGAGAGGTGGCCAGTGTTTCTCAGCTCTTCATGCATAGCCCAGGACATAAGAGGATAAGTAAGATTATTTTGGAAGAGTATTCATGGAATAGACTTGAGGAAACAGTGAATATGCAGTTAATAGTTTTATTTCCTGACCCTCAGGTTGCATATGCTGTCAGCTGCAAATGGGACTGTTGAAAGCAGGTGAAAGCTGAAAGCGAGAATAGATGAAGATTTAAAAATAACACTGTATGTCCATGTGTCACTGAAGGAAGAGAGGGGCTAGATTTGCTCTAAAGAAGGGTTCCTGTAACATCTGTTTGAAGGAAATGAGACTAAGCAGTGAACCATGATGAAGACCCTTAGGCAAAAATTTTAATAAATCTGAGCATAAATGAGAATTTAAATTCCTGACATAAAGTTACCATCTTTTAATAGTTGGAGAGATCGTGCCCTTCAGAAACTTATCAGAACCAAAGTGGAACAGGGTTACTAGAGAGACAGCATGTTTGGGGACATTAATCAAATGGGAATTTAAAAAGAACTGCTGTGAGGTGATATTTAGGCCTTTCTTAAGATGGCGTATCCGTATAGTCAGGCGAAGTGTTCCTTACGCGGGAGGCAATGGTGTAACTTGCCTCCTGCGGTTACTGGGTTGTCCCTAGTTTTATGAAAAGGAAGGGTGCTCCTCTGCACCTCAGAGGGACCTCTAGATCTGAGTGGGCAAGATCAATACTTTTTTCCAGGTAAGGCCATCAAGGTCCTTTACTGTTGAAAATAACAGGAAAGCTTTAAGAAAGTACTGGAGGAAAAGAGAATGAAAAATTTTATGCGGTGGTAAAAAAAAAGGAAGCATCCCTTGGATACATGAGTGTCCAGGGGTGAAAAAAAGGTGGCTTGGTGTGGATGCAGCAGCCTGGGGAAGAGGAAAACCTGGGGGCCTGACACAGTTGGGCTCTAACCCCAGTTTTGTCTGTGTGACCTTCATTAAGTCGCTCTATTTCCCTGAGTAGCAGTTTCCCGCCTGCAGTGTTATTTTTCGTCAAGGTTATTGTGAGGAATTAAGAAGAATTTAGTAAGTAGGTAGCTGATACTTTCTTTTGCTTTGCGTTCCAGTGAAGGGGGAAGCAGTGGAAGAGGGGCTGTCCGAAAGAGGTGGAGGGGGAGCTTGAAGTGTTTCATTTCAGACTCATTTAAAGAACTTGTAAGGAAAGCATTACTAAGAAGTACAGGCTTAAGGGAGTAGGGAGCAGGAACTTAGGAAATGAGGAGACAGTAACTGGAGGAAGAAAAAGGAGCATAAACTAAGGAAACGTGAACCCTAGTGAGGTGTACCTAAGAGGGAGGCGTGGTTGGAGTGCATGTAAGTGAGATCAGGAAGACAGCCTACATCCAATGTCTCTTCAGGACTAATTTTGGCAGAAGCAGCTGAAATTGTGTGCATGGGCATCAGGTTTATGACTCTTCCTACTGCTGATGAGCATGAGCGCCTTTTTGATATGGAGCTGGTTTTCACTGTATGTTCAGAAGATCCCTTTGTTTTGTAAGATGGGTGAGCATGGAACTCATATTCACTGTTTTCCATCTGGAGCCTAACAGTCCTGTCTGTCCAATATGTGTTGATTGTGTTCTCAGAATCAGATTTGTATTATATGTGAATCCACCACCAGTATATCGCAAAAAAAGGAAGATGGGGAAGGTTAAGTCTATAAAAGGTAAGTGTATATGTATATATATATATTTTTTTCCTACATAAGATAAGGTGATTCTAGAGCTGAATTTGGTTTTGGAGAAAAAGGATAGGGCTGGAAATAATTTTAAAAGCAACTTATTAAACCACTATGAGTGAGCAGAAATATTCACATCTTTCAGAACAACCACAAATCTAGATAGGAAAATTAAAAAATTTAAAATCTGCATATACAGCGCCAGTTGTGAGTGAGGAAGATGAAGACCACATAAGAATGAAGGGACACCTTAAAAACAAGAAGCTGCTGGTGTTCACTTGAATAATGAGACTGAGTCCTGGCTCACTCGCTAACAGTGTAACCTCGTATAAGGCTTTGGTGAAGCTCAGTCCTCGTGTATTAAAATGTGACTTCTTACCCTCAGAGGTTGTGAGGATTCATTAAAGTAGTCACTTGGTAACCTTGAGAGGAAGAGAAGGAAGGGGGCTTGAGGAACAACTAAGGAATTGTGAGGAAGAGAGAAGTCTTGGGTAAGCCATGCTTGCTTGGTCTCTGGATCTAGAGTGAGCTCATGGGACAGAATGCTAGGACGCTAGGGAAAGTAGTTTACAGGGCCTCATTAAAAGGAATTGTTAACAAATGTGTATAATCTAGACATAAAGACACTGGAATAGCAAATACACTAAAATACTCAACTATTAGGAAGGAACAGTAATGCACCAGTATGGGTCTTAGACTGACCCTCCCACTGAGGATAAGAAAATGCCCCAGATAACACATACACTTTTAAGTCATATAATTTGATGAGCTGGTAAGAAAGTAAGGAATTCTCAGGTCAAAAGAGTAATGGCTGAATCCTAGAGTGTGCCAAGAGCAAAAGCTAGCTTTTAACTTAAAATTCATACGGAAAAGCAGGAGACCCAAAATAGGCAAAAATACCTGGAAAAATAAAACAGAGCTGGAGACTCACACTTAACAAGTTTCAAAACCTACTACAAAGCTCCAGCTTTCAAGACAGTATGGTACTGGCCTAGGGACAGATAGAACAGAATTAAGACTTCAGCTCGAAACCTTTACACTGGCCAGTTGATTTTCAAGAAGATTGACAAGACAATTCAACGGGGAAAGAATAATCTTTTTAGCAGTTGGTGCTAAGACAACAGTATATTAACATACAAGAGAGTAAAGTTGGACTCCTACCCCGTCACACGTACAGAAGTGACTCAAAATGTGTCGTAGAGCTGAGTATAAAAGATAAAACTGTACATCTAGAAGAAAACACTGCTGTAAATTTTTGTGACCTTGGATTAAGCAGTGGTCTCTTACGTTTGACAACCAAAACTAAAAGCAACAACAGCATAGTTGAGAAATTGTATTTTGTCAAAATTAAAATTTTCTTACTTCAAAGGACATCAGGAAAGAGAAAAACAAGACATGGAATTAAAGGAAATGTAATATTTCATAATTTTATATCTGATAAAGGACTTGTATCCAGAATATAAAAAGAAACTTTCCAACTCAACAGTAGACAAATAACCCAATTAAAAACGGACAAGAGATTCGAATAGAGATTTCTCAAGGGGAGATATTCAAATGACTGATAAGCATATCAAGAAGTATTTGTCATCATTAGTCATCAGAAAGTGCAAGTGAAAATCACAGCAAGATACCACTTCATACCTGAGAAAGGCAGAATCAGAGACAGTGTTAGGAGAATGTAAAATTTAAAACACTCATACATCACTGGCAGGATAGTGAAGTTGTGCAGCCACTTTGGAAAATAGTTTGGCAATTCCTCACATGGTTAAATGCAGAGTTACCTAATAACCCAGCAATTTAACTCCTGGGTATATACCCCAAAGAAGTGCAAACATGTCCACACAAAAACTTGTACACAGTGTGCACGCCCACATTATTCATAATAGGCAAAAAGTGGAAACAACTCCCATGGCTAGCCGCTGATAAAGGGATAAGCAAAATGTGGTCTATCTATGCTGTGGAATATTGTTTAGCAATAAGAAGGGAAGGCGTACTAACATGCTACAACGTGGCAGAACCTCCAAAACATGCTAAGTGAAAGAAGCCAGTCAGAAAAGAACACACACTGTGATTGCACTGCTACAGGACGTCCAGAATGGGAAAACACGTAGAGACCCACTGGAGGTTAGACCTAGAGAAACAGGAGGAGGAGCTGGTTACTAAAGGTGCTGGGTTTCTTTCTGAGGTGACAAAAACTGCGGTGAAGGGCGCACGTGTCAGTGAGTGCACTAAAACCCACCGAACGGTGTGCACGCTTGACCGGGTGACGTGTGTGCTTTTGAATGCTATCTCAAGAAAGCTAATGAAAATAAAAGCACTGGGGAAAGGACAAGGGTTCGAGTAAGAACCCCTGCTGTTTATAAGGAACTAGTGTGGTTAATTAGAAACGGAAAATTTGTTGTTTATTTGATGTTCGGAAAAAAGTAATTTATGTATTCTGTATTAATACGTTAGTGTTTTAATCCTAGTTAAAGTGAAATAAGACAGCTTCAAGAGACGTGGTAACAAAAAAATCAAGAATGTCAGTTTGGAAGTACCTTTTTCCACAAAGTGCAAGTTCAGCATTTATTCAGTGGCTTCATCCCTGCACTCATGTTTCATTATAAAGTGAGGGGGGGTTTGTTTTAATTCCAGAGTTGTGATGGCATAGGTATTTTACAAATTTCAAACAAGGAAAATGAATTCCCTTACTATCATTATAGGTCTTATTTTTATAAAATACAAAACATGCTCTTATAAACGTGTGAAAATGTATTTTTTTGTAACCCACTGAAATTGATTGCTTTCTTGTAGAAGCACTTCTGTATCAGAAATCATGACCTGCCTTTCACAAGTTGGGTATTTTTCCTACCATATTTGTTTCTCTGAAAATGAAGGGGGCCCAGATGAAAACATTTTAACACAGTTATGTCAGCCTGTTGACAACAAATGTCTGACCTGGAGAGTAGAACCTGCTGGTGAGCTTGGAACTAGTGAATCATAGTAAACTGACCACTTGGTGACAGTGTGTACTTTTTGAATGTCTCGTAACTTTTCCTCTAATTTTACAAGAACCCTGATATTGAATGATATTTTCTTTTTTAATGATATTTTCTAATAGAGGTCCCGAGTCCAAGAATATAGGTCAGTTCCCAGATTGGTGTGAAATCTGAAAACTCTCCACCCATGAAGCAGGCCTGCCCTGAAGCCCTTTGGAACCTCAGCGTAGAGCCTGAGCAACAGCAGAGCCTCCGGGAAGCTGGCACTGCACGGGGCTCCTTGGCAGTGCCTAATCTCGAGCTCTCCTTTTGGGCTCAGAACCAGAGCTGGCTCAGAAACTGGCTGGCTTCCAGGGCCCTTGACTCTGTCGTGGTCTCTGTGATTCTCTCTGGCCCTGGTGTGGAGCTGTGTCTGCCTCCAGGTTCCTGAGGCCCAGACTCCTCAGGCTCTGGAATCAGTCCCCTTCAGAGGCAGCTCCAGTTCCTCTCACCTCTAACACCTTGAACAAGTTATTTCACCTCTCCAAGCTTCCATTTGCTCATCTGGAAAACTGGGTTAACAACACTTGGAAATGGCAGGGGGCGGTGGGGGAGATAGAGCACATGTTTCAGGGTCCAAACTTGCAGCGAGGAGTCAGTCAGTCCTAGACAGCTCATGCACAGAAGACGTGATTTTATCACCAAACTTGCTAAGAGTCTAGAACTTAATTTTTCCAACCACTAAAAAGGAGTGATAGTTACGTAACCTGGTAACAGTGCTTAATAGCGCCATGATGGCAGTCATGTTCCAATATAAAAATGTATCAAATGAACAGGCTGCACACCTTAAACTTACACAGTGTTATATGCCAAACATTTTTTTTCAAACAATACTTAGGTATCTTTAGATTTCAGGTTTCTCGTAAGACTACATGAGAAATAACTCTGTATTCAATATTCTATAAGTGGACACTGTCATTAATCTACCCATGAAAGGGGAACCCTAGTTGAGCATCTCACGGAACTCGGCATGGAATTCAGGTTATCTTAAAGCTGTTTTACCTCTGGGCTTTTCATTTTGGCAGGCTCCTTAGCTACAACTTTAGCGCTGAAGGTCTAAAGAATTGCTTTGTGAAATAAAATTAGAATATAGCCAATTTTTTTTTTGAGAAGAGAATACATGCCTATAAAACGAAAGCAGGAACGATTGTTTTCTCTAAGATGAAACTGATGTTACTTGACCAGTGAGCACGAGAGTGCAGATACGTTAGTGACCAGAATAACTGACCCATTTGAGCAACTGTACTAATGACTCTCAAAGAACTTTCCATTCTCCTGAAAAAGGGAAGTGTGGGAAATGTTTTTAGCTTCATTTAGATCTAAGCAAGTGTAATGTATATGCTTTGCCTTTATCAACAGCTATATTGCTACCCCATTTGAAAACCGGATGCTTTGATCACCTTACTTTATATACGTGCCTCCTTGAAAAGTAGTTACAATTAACTTGGTGCCTGCAATCTGAATTCAAACTGGGGTTGTTGATTGTTTCTTAATTTAGTCAATGGAATATCTATCATCAGTCGCTCAATAATAGGTCACTAAATAATTCTGGAAGCAGGAGAGGTTTTGCTGCCAGGAATAAAACAAGGTTAAGGTGTAACCTGGCGCATGCGTACCCGTGTTTGCAATGTGTAGTACTCCAGAAATGACTTGTGGCATCTCCTGGAAAGGGAACCTGTCTGCCAAACCGTCACGGCCGCCCATCCTTCTCCAACTCCTCTCAGCATAGGGATTTTTAACGTTGCCTTCCAACAGACAGGTCACCGCAGAACAGCCACTCCATCGAACCCTGGAGGCTTCTTTCCTCCCGAGACGTAACAGCCTGTCCATCCTCCAAAACGCTTTTGCAAAGGCTGTGTGTATCTTCTCATACTCCCCTTTCAACTCTCTTGTCTTTCTCTTTCTGGAGAAGAGGTCTTCTACAGCCGTGTAGTCTGCCCTGAACACCGTGTGGAAGGAATCGATTGTGCTTTGCTCGTCAGAGGTCATTTGGTAGGAAGGATCAAGTGTGGAGAGCTGATGGAGAAGTAAAACTGGGAATTCCACGGATGTCAGGTCTGCCGCCGAGGCCCCGTGATGGCCATCAAACAAACCAAAAAAACACACGTTGGGCTTGTTGCCAAAATTATTCACTATCGTGAACTTATCGTTCATGTCAACCCTCCACGTAGAATTCCTGTCTTCACAGATGGCTGCTCCTTTAATTAATAGGTGGCAGATTTTCTGAGAGTATGTGGAACTCTTGGGAATGTTGTCAAGAATCTTATAGTATGATGGTATCTGCTTCTTCCGGAGTAGCTCGAAAGCACTATTAATGCTCTGTAAGGTCTTTTCAGTGAATGCAGAAGATGACAACAGCTTAGCGATGATGGACTGTCTCTGAGTGGCAATCACTGAGAGCCCCGGCTTCTTTCCGCCCATCCACTGAAAGCCCAGCGTGGCCAGGGCCACGTGCTGCTTTTTATGGAAGAAAATTCTAGGCAGGTCAATTTCATGGTTGCATATGGAACAGGGGAATGTGACTGTCTGCTTATTGTCCTGGTCCTTGTGGTTTTCAGAGTCTTTTGACGGTCTCCTCTTCTTCCTAAAATACTTTCTCCTCCATGAAAGCGGGACTTCCTCATCTGAATCACTTGTCGGTTTTCTCACAGTCAGTTGCTTAGGTTTCCAAAACATTCTGTAAATGAGATGAAAACTATTTACATGCCAGGAATGATGCAATGAAAACCTCTTCAACATCTATCTTTATTTTTTAGTGGAGGTACTGGGACGTGAACCCAGGACCTTGTGCATGCTAAGCACGTGCTTGCTCTACTGCTGAGCTACACCCTCCCCTCCACCCCAGGCAGGCCCCTATCTTTACATTTTTCTTTGCTCCTTGAGATTTTTATATCAGCCTAGAATTGAACGTTCTGATTCATCTTTCTGTGATTCCCAAAAAAACACCTAGTAAGTACTCAGTGAATTGGTGATTGACCTGTGTATGCCTCAATGAAATTAGGCAAAATCTCCATAAAGACAGCTAGGCATCTAAGAACAAACACTCAGAGAAATTAGCACAGTATTTTATCTAGGCATGTGAACGTGTATGCCTGAGCTCTAGGAATCTGATTTCAAGTATGAGCATAATTATTGTTGTATTCTATTTTGTCTTGCTTAAAACACTTTTGCCATAATAAAGAGTTCTCAAGAGAATGAACAGAGGATGTCAGAACCAAGCAGAATAATGAAAAGAATTGATAGTAAGGACAGAATTTTTAGGACGACAATGGGAAAGAGGTATGGCCTAAGGAAAGGAAAGAAAAGATGTGGTGCTGGATGAGAAATTTCCCAAAAGCAGAAACCGTTTCTTATGCTGCTTCCTCTCAGAAGCATCCACTCAGCACATGAGGCCACTTTTATCCATTTTATGGGAAATTCCTAGGGCAGGAGATCTTTGCAAGAGATGACGGAAATTAGAGACTGGAAAAAAAAATGCCTTTGTTATAAAATATTTTAAAACCTAAAAAAAAAAAATCAAAGTTAGTAGCTTTAGCTGTTTATGCAAAGTGACATTTTAAAACTAGTTAATGTCAACACAACTCATACATAAATTGTATTTGATACGAGTACATTCAGTGGGCTGCTCTTCTTGCTTGGACTGAATTCCCCGACGTTCACAACTCTATTCTCATCCCAACAGTAAAACTTCTTTTAAAAATTTCCACTCCATAAATGCCTGTACAACTGTTAACCTGTTAGCAAGCCTTCCTGGCTTTCCCTCCCCAACACGTTTTTGTTTCTTTTTTTCAGTGGAAAAATTTTTAAAATCACACAAAAATGGAAGGCCACCCTGAGCCCCCATCGCCCATTTCAACCAGGATCAACTTTTTCTTCACTCTCCTTTTATCCATGTCCTCAGCCACTTTATTTCATTTCATTTCATTCATTCATTACTGGAGTATTTGAAAGCAAATCCCAAAGTTATGTCATCTCACTCAGAGACTTCAGTAGTCAGCATCCATTTACTTCCTCAATACCCACAGCAGGCCAGCCACTGCATGCTGCAGCCTACACATAAGGCTGGTGTCCTGCCCTGGAAGCCACGAGGGAAGGACCCTGTAGCACCATCCATGCGCTCAAAGAATCAGACAGGTCAGAGGGATCCAGGACCAAGCCCCACCACAGGGCCCCAGCAGGGACCCAGCCCTTCCTCTGGCTAGCAATAGTTTTCCTGAGGCTTGTTGAACCACTGGGACGCTGATACTGTGATGTGACCTAAAGTCATCAAATCACAACAAAGTTATATCAGAACTTTATTTTTCTGTAATTAGGGGATAGCCATGATACAACTCTCTCACGTGGAACCATTCTTGGAATGTAATGTGTCTTGGGGGGAGGGTAGAGCTCAGTGGTAGATCGCCTGCTTATCATGCACGAGGTCCTAGGTTCAATCCCCAGTACCTCCATTTTTAAAAAATAGGATGTAACGTGTTTTCATATGTTCATTCATTCTTTCATTCATTCAACAAACACTTGGGTGTCTGCAATTTACCAGTTTAACTTTCTTGGGATAGAGAAGTAAACAAAACAGGCATTGTCTGGGATGAAGCTTATATTCTGATACAAAAGGCACACGATTATAAAGGAAATGTAAACATATAATATCAGATAAGTACTATCATGAAAAATATAGCAGAACAGGAGTATAGAGAGATGGAAACCCTTTTTGTATAAGGTAGTCAGAGGCATATGTCACTCCTCCCTGTATGTAGTCCAACAGGAAGCCAAGGTGTCATTTTATTACTAAGAAAATGGAGGGACAAGAAAACCACACGTATAATTATTCATTGAGTACATTTGTCATCCAATAAAAATGAAAAGCGTTTACCTGAAAGCATTATTAATGTCCATATTCCTTTGGAATTGCTACCTTCCTTTGCTCTCTACCACCTCTCTCCAGTCTCTGTTCCTCCAACCTGGGCAGCACTGGTAGTGGCAGCAGTGGAGGTGGTGGTGCTGGTGGTGCTGGTGGTGCTGGTGGTGCTGGTGGTGGTACGGCCCCACTGACTTGGCGGTAGACCCCTCTGGGTGGAATGTTAACTACCTCACCTGGAACCTCGGCCAGAACTCACTATGATTCTGAAAGACTGTGAGGCAATAAGGTCACAAATTGTATAAAGTAACAAACTTGACTTTGAAAGTTCTGAAAGAAGGATCATTTATTAAATATACTGTAATATTCCTGCATAATGGGATTTTAAAAATGAGAGGAGTGACTACCAATTAACATACAGTTACTTTCCCCCTGGGAGGTAAGGTATCTCAGCCACATCTCCCGACACCCCCTCCATCCTGCTCCCCAAGTCACCGCTTGGAGGTTATCAGCCTTCCTGAGACTCTGTTTCTTGAAGCTGCTTTCACTCCTGGCTGGTGTCTTTAGTTCCCAGGTTCCGAATTCACAGCCGCAGTTACTTTCTCACCCCAGGCTGGGTTAGAACCAGAGTCCTAGAGCAGCTTGTTTGCATATTGGAGGAGACTGGATAAACCCCACTACTTCCTAGTCATCTCCATGGCATGTATCCCAGTCAGTCTAAAGTTAACATATCCAGAACAGAACTCACCATCTTTCCTCCAGAGTCACCTTCCGACATTGGCTTAGGCTGGAAACTGTTTTCCAGAATCCCTTTCCCTGTGCGCTTCCAGGTTAGAACTGGCCAAGAAAGGAATCTGGGGGCACTACATCTGAACGCCGTCGTGGTTCAGGGCGGTGACCCAGGTGCAGAGGGGCCTGGAGGCTCCGGCCTGTCCTCGCGCCCCCTGCGCTGCCTGCCGTCGGACCTGCAGCGCTGCCGCTTCGCCGGGTTGTCCGTCAGCGTCCCCTCCGCGGTCCTACTGTAGCGGCTGCACGTCCTCGGCTTCTCGGACTGGCTGGGGGCCCCTTGGTCCCCCCTCCCCCTCCCAGATGTTCAGCTGCCCGCTCCTTCCACAAAGTGTGCGAGGTCAGGTTTCAACGAGGAATTCTTTGCCCCGTAACCCCTGGGGTTCAGCTTTCCTGGCTGAACGGGCGTTGATCTGGGCACCACCACCGCGCCCCCCATCCTCCCCGAGGACTGTCCGGTCTCGCCTCAGCATCCCTCTGCTCATCCTCGTCTCCTCTCCGCTGCTGTCACTTCGCTCCTGGGCACCAAAATGTTTGACCGCGCTTGGCTCCCAGCTGCGCTGCCGGCCCGGGGCTGCTCGCCTGTCGGGGCAGCAGCCGGAGGTGGGAGGGACCGGCGTGCTCTCTGCTCTTGCTCCTGGGGTAAACGCCCTCAAGCCCGGCCTCCTCTGACTTCTGCTAACCTGTCTAGCGTCACCTCCCACCCCTGCCCCTCCACGCCGGGCCATTAAAGCAAACCCTTGCCACTTTGGGAAGAAGCGGAATTTGATTGTTGTCATCTGAATTGCTTACTACTCAGTCGCTTTTCAACCCACACCACTTCCGCCGGCGCTGCACGGTCGCTCCCCGCAGCTGCATCCCCGCGCGTCACGTCGGCGTGGGGGTTAGCGGACGGCTCCTCCCTGAGCGGGTCCGGAGCCTCCCGCCGGCGCCCGCCCCGCCCCCGGGCGGGCGCAGTCCCGTCTCCCCGGGCAGCCCTCAGGCCCGCTGGTGTTAGGGCTGCAGGAAAACCCCTTGAAGAGGTGACAGTGTCCGCTTCTTTCCAGAGAGGCAGAAAGAAAGAAAACCCAGTCCCAGAGTACTTCGCAGGGGACAAGGTGGGTTCCCAGTGGCTTGTTTTCTTCCTCAGTGCACTTGCTGTTAATTTCGTCCATGAATTGATGATTTTATTTCTGTTGTTACTAACAAATAAGAACATGCACTTTTATTATTTATTAGCTACCCATTTAACATATTCTCCTCTTAATAATAATCAAACAATACGGAAGTGTGTAGAGGAAAATCAGAGGTCTCCCTTTACCCCAAGTAACCACTGCCAAAATTTGGGCGTGAATTCATTGCTCCAGACCAGTTTCTACGTATTTTCATATACAGGTACATGAAAACATAGACACATCCTATTTTGAGATTTAGGTTCAATTTCATTACAGTCAGTTGCACAAAATCTAAATGTACAGCTGGATGAATTTTTACACAGGAATCCACTTATAGACTCCATTAAGTCTCCTTTTCTGTATTTTTAAAAATAACTTGGCAGCATAATCATAGTATTATTCTGTAAATGTTTCTACTAGTACGAGGTGGGGAGGGTGATGATTTTTTTAGGTCAGGACCTATCAACCTACCCCATTCTTGTTAATCACTGTGTTATATTCCACAGTGAGTGTAAAGATGTAACAGAGTATTTAGCCATTTACCTATAATGATGGAAGTGATTTTTTTTTAAACTGTAATGATCAACATTACAGCAAACACATCCAGGCCTCTTTGTGCAGATGTCGGTTCTCCCGGGATGTCCAGCCCACAGGAAGTCGATACAGCTGAGTAGAAGGAGCAAGCCTTAGGGACAGGCCACTGGACTCAGATCCCAGCTTTCTGCTGCCTTGCTGGTGCTCTTAGGTGAGTTAGCCAGTGTAGGCCACGGTTTTGTCAGCAGTGAAATGGAGAGAATACTAATAACCTTGCTGGATTGGTGTGAAATGAGAGACATCTGCCTGACACTGAGCATGGCGTGCTGGATAGATGCTCCCTATGTGATTATTATTAATATTCACTGAGTAATATTATTTGGTATCCCCACATTCCACAAACACCTTTGCATATATGTTTCCATTAAATTCTCTCCCCGTGATCCCCTTTCATTGATTTGTTTCTTCCTGCTCACATTTGGTCCTCCTTATGCCTGCATCTAAACTCACCACCCTGGCTCCACGTCACCTTTACCTGCACACACACACACACATCTGTAAATACATACGCAGATACACACACAGGTTTAAAAAGCAACTTAAAGGAGAGAGTGGGCAGGAGACATGGTGTCAAGCTATTGAAGAGTCCGAAGCCTTTAATATTGGTGAGGTATCATTGTGTCCACAAAAATGATAACTTGTACTCAGTCTGCCCAAATAAGGAAAAAGAATGAAGTAACCTGATAAGGTGGAGGATTGCATAATGTACAAAAATTAATTTGAAATACAAAAGAAAACAGAATCCATTGGATATTCCAAGAAAATAATTTAATTAGAAATAAACCCCAAAAAAGTATGAGGGAAAAACATTCATATGAAAAAATATTTAAACTCTGCCAAGAATATAAAAGAAAACATGAATAAAGGTGAAGACTCATTTACGTTTTGGATTGGAAAACTCAATATTGTGTAAACGTCACCATAAAAAGGGGGAAAGCGAACCATCTCTGGGGAGAAGATATTTACAACACATGTAATTGACAAAGTACTTAAATCTAGAATATGTAAAAATATAAATAATATGAACAAATCGATAAGAGAAAGACAAACATTCTCTTCTGCCCAAAAGACATAATACTTGAGGGACATGTCACAAGGGGAAATATAAGTAATGAACATGAAAAATTACCTCACCTCAGTACTTACCAAGAAGATGCAGGTTTAAACCATAATGAATTCATGCTTCACATCCACCACGCTGGTGCAGTGCTCTGCTCTCATCCTCCCATACAGGACCCTAGACAGAATCCTCACCATGACCGGCCCGTCGAGGACATGAAGCCACACCACAACTAGGAGAAGCCTTGCTGAGGGCGACGGAGGGAAAGTTACTCACCTGCCAAAGAGTCTACAACATAGAAATGGCTCCTCAGATCAACCTTTTTTTTTTTAATTGAAGTATAGTCAGTTTACAATGATGTGTCAATTTCTGGTGTACTGCATAATAGTTCAGTCATGCATACACATACATATATTCCTTTCCATATTCTTTTCCATTATAGGTTATTACAGGATATTGAATATAGTTTCCTGTGCTGTACAGTAGGACCTTGTTGTTTATCTATTTTATACATGGTAGTGTGTATCTGAAAATCTTGAACTCCCTTCCCCTTGGGTAATTCATCCCTTCCCACCCGCTTAGTTTGTTTTCTATGCCTGTGAGTCTGTTTCTGTTTTGCTTTTGCACCGCAAAGGAAACCATAAACAAACCAAAAAGACAGCTATGGAATGGGAGGAAATATTTGCAAATGATGCAAGTGACCAGGGCTTAATTTCCAGAATATGCAAACAGCTCATACAACTCAATAACAAAAAGCAACCCAGTCCAAAAATGGGCAGAAGACCCAAACAAGCAGCTCTCTAATGAAGACACAAATGGCCAATAGGCACATGGAAAAATGCTCAACACCGCTAATTATCAGAGAAATGCAGATCAAAACTACAATGAGGTACCACCTCACACCAGTCAGAATGGCCATCATTAAAAAGTCCACAAAAAAAGATCAACTTCTCGATGTGAAAG